GTGGGCTTTGTTGCTTCTGAGCTAGATGGCTACTTATTAAGCCTTTAAGACCCCAGACGCTATATCTTTTGATAGCCGGGCACCATCGGCTTTCTTCGCCACATTTGCTTATACACCCATTTGTCTTCAGTGATTGTATCAGGGAGGTGAGCACACGATATGATTTTTTGTTCTTTGATGCCTGATAACTGGTCCCTTTGGCACCTCCTGATCACACTGGCTGGTGTGCTTCTTCCATGGGCATTATTGCTTCTGAGCCAGATGGCCGCTTGTTTGCCTTTAAGACCCCAAACGCTGTATCTTTTTATAGCCGGGAACCATCAGCTTTCTTCACCACCTTTGCTTATTCACCGGCTTTGTATTCAGCAATTGTGTCAGGAAGGTGAGCATTATACAATGCCATTTTAATAGAAGAAAGTATTCTTGCATTGAGGGAGTACTGGAGTGGAGGCCCAATGTCCTTCTGCTACCTTAATACTAAACTTATAAATATATGCACATAGATCTATTTCCCCATCTTCATATATAAATATATTTACATATGCACATGCCTTTATTTAGACCTCTGTAAATGCCCTTTGCCTCCTAGCTCTGAAAGAGTGTTTTGAGGAGCACTTTGGTAAACACTGATCTAAAGTGGGATTTATTCAGGTATGGCTGTTAAGATATATTCCTGTGCAACTGTGCTAGCTATTTGCAATTGGTGATTTTTCCGATTGACCAATTCATACACTCTAATTGAATGCTTCCCCAGCTGTATTGATTGTTAGTGTTTTAAATTATCACTTCACTCAAACACCTACTACTGAACATCAATTAGTGCATGTTGAGTAAAATCCAATCACCTTACTCAAAGTTCCTCCGGACCTGCAAACACTGGAATCCTACTTCCTGCTTCCCACTATTTTCATTTCTCTGAACACAACACACGTTTTTGTGCACTCGAAAAGACCCTTACGCATACTGTCCTCTCTGGACTGCTTACTCCTTTAACAAGTGGTAAGTCTGGCTCATCTGGCTCAACTGTGTCACTTCATTAGAGAGACCCCCAGACCGCTCTCTAATACATTGTTCCTCAGGCCCGCACTTTATAACAGGTTTTATATTTTTTATGTTGTTGCTAATGAACCTCTGCCTGCCAACACTACCACTCCCTGAGAAAAGTGACAGCGTCTTGTTTGATTCTCCAGCAGCCATGCTTTTAAGGCGCTCTTCATTGCCATGATCTATGCACATTGTATCAACACCTTGCCTAATCCAAGGTAACTGTGGTACCTTCAGATTTTGAATTCAGATTCCTTTTCTCCAAAGACAAACTTTCTTTCTAGCTCACCTGCTGAAAATAGCACCACTAAACTAATTCGTCCTCAGCTAGTAGGTTAATTCTGCCCCATGCTCAGTACTCACCTGCTCACGCCTACCTTATGTGTCGGGTTTAGGAAGTAGATCCCATTGCTATACAAACCCATTGCAGATATCCTTGATCTTGTCCCTCTCGTGCTTTTGAAAACTGGTTGACTCTTGCACAGCTGAATGGAAGAAAAGTAGGCCATCAGCAGGTTTAAAATCTCAAGTAGACTCAATAATGCTTGGCAATTTCACTGTAATTCTTTTAACTTCCTTCTTAGAGCTTAACTCCTGTCTCATTTCATAAACCTTTCTCAAAGTAGGTCTTTTGCAACAACGCTCAGACCTACTAGGTACTATTCTTGAAAGAGAGAGAAAGCCGATTGGTGCCATTCAGCTATAACCCCTTTGGCCCCTGTTGAAGTTATTATGAAACCATTAATTGTTCTCTGGTAGAATTCTTAACCTTCCATGCAGGGCACCCAGGTTAGGAACCGAGCAACAAATATGTTGTACATACATATTCATGGAATTTCCCTCCTCATTCATTACCATTTTAAATGTTTTCACAACTGAAATTTGTCCTTAGGTCACGAGTCTTCCATGGCTCCATATCCATTCCAGCTACCTCGAGCTTTCAATAAAGGTAACAAGCCCGTCCTTGAAATTGTTTCCGTGGCAGCATTTTCTCTGTGTGTCCTTTTGGCCACTCCATTTCTGATTCTAGTTCTAGTTCTCCTGTACCTGACTTCTGGGTCGTTACCTTTCTGCAATCTGGCATTTAGAGTTATCGTTATACCTACAAGCGCAAATGTAAACCTCCAAACCAAATTTTCCACGTTACAGTCCGGTCTCTTCAACTGCCTACTTCATATTTTGATATCCAACCCATTCTTTAATGCCTTCCCCGGCTACCAACAATCTATTCTCCAGTATATTTTAGTTGAATAAATATAAACGACTGCCTAGGTTTCTAAAGCTATGTTCTTTGGTGTCATAGTACCAAGTAATGTGCAACAAGTCACAATTATCATTTGTAACTCCAAAGTAGACCGCACCATTACTTTTCACTTTGTCCCTTAACAATTCTAAACGAAACACCATCTCATGTAAACCACTGTAATAGACTCCCTACTGGTTTCCTTCCAAAGGATCGCTTCCACACAGATGGATTTTTTAACTTTAGTAATGAGGGAGGGGGCAGGGAAACATTCATTCACATTCACACTCTATACTTTGAATAAAATCTCTCTAATCACAACGTGTTCCACTAGTTTCATTGTAGTTCCTCAAGCCAGCCAAACACATCTCAAGGTCCTAGTACTAACTCTTCTTTCTACTGGAAATGCTCCTGTGTCCTAAGTTACTCATTCTTCGGGTCTTAGGCTTCTAGATCCATGAATGGTCCCCATTAAGAGTGCTGTTTCCTTGATAGCCTTTATTACAAATTGGAATTACGTCGTCTACACCCCCCTCCCAGCTTTTCTAAGGTCAGAACTCTCTCATGTTTGTTCACCCACCATCACTGCCCATTGCCCCCCTTGCATTGTAGGTACTTGCGAGTGATAAATATAGAGTGCCTAAATGAATGTTGAAAACTTGCGATTTTTATGGAGCCTTCATTCAATTGCAATTGTTTGAGTGTGGAAAGGAAAAACGAGGTCTGGGTATTTATGCTAGGGTAAAAGCACCCTGGAGGTTTAGTGGATTATCATTTGGGCTGCTAAACACAGGGTCAGCAGTTCAAGTCCACCAAGCACCACTTCGGGAAAAGATGCAGCTTGATGATTTATGACCCTGGAGACCCTTAGGGGGCAGTTCTGTGGCTTGGGGTGTCTACAAGTTGGAGCTAGTTTGATGGCAGTGAGTTTTATTTTGA